TATTGATTATCTCTGTCGAAGTCTAGCGTTCTTTCTCTCAGTTTAAGATTATTCTTACGAGCGAACTTTGTCTGGTGCCATCAAGATATCTTAATGAATTGTGGATATTCTGGTAGAGTAGAGCATAAAAAATAATTTAGACACAATATTTTTTGCTGATACTCATCCGGGGGGTTGTGGGAGGCGTTTGAACACTTGAGATGAATAGTGGTAATATATAGGGTGTGCAGAGCGGATGCACACTTACAGGGGTACAGGCTATGCATTTACTCTATGCATCTCAAGTGTTCAAACGCCTCCCACAACCCCTCGTACGAGTATCAGCAAAAAATATTTTGTCTAAATTATTTTTTATGCTCTACTCTACCAGAATATCCACAATTCATCAAGATATCTTGGTGGCATTAGACCAAGTTTCCTTGTTAGACTGAAAGAAGACTCACATTTCATGAAGATCTCAAATCAAATCTCCACCCTGTATATTACCGATCATTGTTACCGAGAAGTTCAATATACAATTGCAGTATAGACTCATATATCACTGAATACCCTACGATAAGCATTGAATCGCATACAAACTTAAGACTTAAATTTAATAAATTTACCTGTCTAAAATAAAATTTTATTATATAATAAATGAAATAAATGTGGCCACAATTTGTTACTATTATATTAAATTGACACTTTTATAAAATATCGAGTTGACAGTATTTGATTTTTATATAAAAGCAGTGCTTTTTAAAGCACACTGAATAATTTTGAAAATACATAATAATTGTAATTTAATTAATTTTAATAATTAAATTTAATAATTTTAATTAAATTCCATAGAAAATACATAATAATTTTGCTCGCTTTTGAAACACCTATTGAACCAATTGAGGGCAGACATTGAAAGTTATAAAATTGCACATTTTATTAATCATTATCAGTACAATTTTAATTTGCCTTGGTGCTTTTAATGCTGAACCCGTGCGGAAAGCATGTAATTGCATATAGGGCGATCGGTATTACAGGCCATAGAAGCGCATTCATCCGAAGTATACAAATGACCCAAAGGGGCCATAATATGCCAAACAAACCGACAATATGTTCCGATAGCCGCGATCTGATGGGCACAAGCCATTGATTGTCACCGCGTCTGGTCTGACGCCCCTTCACCACAGCTACCGACGGTTTCTTCAGATCATAGGCCCAACCGATGGCCGCAAACGTGTCGATGAACGCTGTCTGAGGATTGAATGCGTCGATCGCACCCAACTCTGAGCTCGAATAATCCCTGTTTAATTGTTGAATGTAATTAAAATTTAAAAATTATTTATAAATATGGCAACCGTTTATGTTTAGCCACAGGTCATATATGAAGATTGTTGTTTATTGGATCGTTCGGTCCCGAAATATATACGTGTTAATTTACTTATATATAATATACTTATATAATTAAGTCAAATTAAAAATATAATTTCAATTTCTCGGGCTGATGGGTAGAAATCACCGAGTTATGGCCATTTTTGTGATCGCGTGTATACGCGTATAACATTGAAAAAAATGGTGTTTCACACAGTGCTTGGGCTAATCACCAGTACTGCATTGCTATACGCCGTATACACGCGATCACAAAAAGTGCCATAACTCGGTGATTTCTACCTATCAGTCCGAGACATTGAAATTATATATTTTTTTATTTAGCTTAATCTACACGTAGAACGGGATTAATTTCAATGTAGACAACTTCAACATATAAGGTTCGCCTGTGAGGGAAACATACTGTGGGAAGGTGTGGTGATAGTTGTGAAAGCCTTCGCCGACCATAAATTGGCGCACATGTGCGTCAACCGACGCTATAGTCTTGTCGTACGGCTAGAAGTAAGCGCAAACATTTAACTTAACATGACAGACAAAATTGAATTTATGCATGGTGACGTATTGATATAATAATACTAATAATGGTAATATAATAATAATACCTTCATGCCGTAGCGATGGGCGGCACTGTTGACGAGGAACGTGGTGTTCAACGATATGGCGTACCGGAGCATAACGCACACGAACCACGAGTTCCACACCGACTCGGCCCACAACAGGTTGGGTACGGTGGCGGGCGCTAAGCCCCATATGAGTATCACTAACCAGGTGAAATGCCGGTCCTGGAATCGGACTACCGGGTCGGCCATCAGATCGGACACGTCGATTGTTTTGCCCTTGGCCAACACGTCGGGATGTTTCATGTATAGCAGCCAACCCACGTGCGAAAAGAAAAAGCCCCGGCGCGAATTGTGCGGATCGGCGTCGGTGTCCGAGTGCTTGTGGTGTAGCCGATGATCGCGCGCCCACTTGTATATATTGCTCTGGAAGCCCAGCGTTTGCAACACCATTAATATGATCCGTAGCGGGAGTTTGGCTTTGTATGCCCGGTGCGACCATAGCCTATGGCCTCCACTCTATATATGAATATTAAAATATAATGTATACAATAGTTTGAATGTATCTTACCATGACTGTTTTACAACTCATGTGTCGTGTTTCTCCTATACGTTTAAGCATAGCATTTATACGACAAATAATTTTGGCAATTTTTTACATTTGTCAATTTTTAAAAATAAAGTACATTGAATGCAATGTAATGACTATAGTGGGAATATTTTATCGCGCATAGTTCTCTTGTCTAAATAAAATTTATTATCTTTATTATTAAATAAATACAGTATAATATCCTGAGTTATAACTCAAAAGGGAATATCTTATAGTTCAAGTGGCGTAGACCATTCTAATTGGTATAGACATGTTCAGTACGGTTTACAGATTAATTTACTGTTGAGATAATCGGCAAATGGCCAGAAATGACCGAATTATGGACAAAATTCGAAATAAATACATTGCATCTAATGCATAGACTTGTGGTGAAAAACCTGTGATATGTGTGATTCACCATTTGTTACAACTAATTTATCATACCTTTAGCGTTGTCTGAATTCAATTGAATTCTATGTATAAATTTTAAATTTTGTCCATAATTCGATCATTTCTGGCCATTCGCCGATTATTTCAACAGTAAATTAATCTGTGAACCGTACTGAACATGTCCATACCAATTAGAATGGTCCACGCCACTTGAACTATAAGATATTCCCTTTTCAGTATATGAATGATTCAAAAGAAATATTGGTTCAAAATGGTCTAATTATAAAATTTATGTGTATAGAAAATTATTATTACAATTATTCAACTATTTTATAATTAATGCAATATAATCAAAATTTTCATTACCAAGATGCCAAACGATGAGATAAATGCCACAAAATTCATAAATACTATTGTATAAAACTTTGCGACAGTTACAGATAAATACAGGCCATAAATGGCCGACAAATGTACCATGATCATCCATGTTAGCTCGTAATACCTGATGACAGGTTTGTATAAGGCCGGTGCAATTGGGTCGGCGTCTATAGGGTGGCCAGTATTAGCTGATCCATTGTTCACTACTTTTGTCTCCATTACACTATTTTTATAACTTAAATGTTGCTAAAATATCTGCTTTGCAAATGATTTTAATAGAATTATTGCAATTTGCAAACTATTTAGTGACAACTTTTGTGGTCAAACAGTATATGATCAGTATTTTATAATTTAGCATCTATTTATAACATTTAAATACAAGCAACATATAAATTGAATTTTGCAAAATTTCATCAAGGTTTATTGATCCAAAATTTATATTCTTTATCAAAGTGCATTTTATTTTATATTTATTATATAAACTGGTTATAACATTTGTACCCCGATTTGAATGATTAGAGCAAATATTGCGGCCACTTT